GCTACCTCTCTTGGTTCACACCCAATGAACTCAAAATAGTAGAATAAAAAAATAACTAGAAGGGGATTAACTATAGGAAAGTTTGTACACAAGGAGGGAGAAAGAAGAGGCGAAACTTCAAGCCAAGAATGAGCAAGGAAGAATGAATCCCTACGACCCTATTGATAGCCTTGGATATGTTCCAGGGTTTTATTCTCAAGCCCATGTGGGACAGATAACCCTAAGAACAAAATTCCCCTTATCCTAAGGGAATTTCCTCCACTACCCTTCTTCCTAGGGTTCTGGAATATTTCTGATTAATCAACTATTGATTAATTGTTATTCAACCCTTCTATTAATTAAACTATTAATTAATTCTTAAATTGTTTTCTAATTTGTTTTTAATTAATAATTAAACCATAATAATTAATAAACTAATTCCTCCTTTATCAATTTTACTTAATTTGAGTCTTGAAGGTAACCCAAGAGGACCCTGTTATTAATAAAAATATTACCAATAGTTAATAACCTTGGACACACTTTCCTAACAATATGTTCAACCCAATACACATCAATGGGCCCAACCCTGGGATATATTTCGACCCAAGAATATAATAGTGGGCCCAGCCTGGGGTGTGTTTCAACCCAACATACATGCAAGAGTGACAAAAACAGCTAGCATCTTATAGCATAATCTAGTGAGCCGAAATTGGTGCCTTCGACCCATATGTATAGTGAGTAGACTCACCTGTCTCACGAAAAAATCTAACCGCACAACTACCACCATGCGAACGACAATGAGACACATCTATTAAATCCAATACGACCCATCTTAGTCCAATTTCAAACACTAGCTAATTTTGACCCAAGTAAAACCATGTCAACGAGTCAACACACGAAGTCAAAGTCAATGATCAATAACCTTAATATCGAGTCTCACGTCTTGACCAACCATTGGTCACATCGTGAGAGCTCACTTGGTACAATTTCACTAACTCATTTCAACTCAGCCAACTTAGTCACGGATAACCCATTCATTATAAGTCATGACATAAGCCATTCTTGGTCACGTCGTGAGAATACAGAAGACCAACAAAATGAAATCTTTTTTTGGTCACGTCGTGATACCTCCAGTGTGACTTCAGTCTAAACCATCTCCTTATTAAATTAATTTGTTAAACCATTAAGTCTCTAAACCCAACTATTTCATAAGCTTAAAGGGACTCTAAAGGTCCATAAAAATGTTTACTTTTTAGACATGCATGTTCCATGCATGTCCTCAATTCATTCTAGGTCAAAAGTAGAAATATGGTACCAAACTCTCATGCATGACTCAAATACTTCACCAACTCCTATATTTGGACTTTATGATGCTCAAAGGACCTTTATAATTCATAAAGTTGGTAACTTTATGGGTTATCTCCACTCAAGCTTGCTTAATCATGAATAAATGGGACAAAAACCTAGATCTAACCATATAATGCAATAAATTTTGAGTCTTTGACACTTACAAAGGTCCAATAAGATAATCTGTTGATGATGATGATGATGCTTATTTGCAAACTACACCATTAAGATACTTCTTTTCCTTCTTCTTCTCTTCTTCTTCTTCAAGCTTACAAATGTACCAAAAATGGATAAGAATCTCTAAGAGGATTATTATTAGGATTTCTTGAGGTTAGAGAGTGAGGGAAGCTGAGGACGAGCAGCCCTAGCCTCCTCATTCCTTTAAATACCCATAAATTATGGTTTTTGGTCATCAAATTGTTCTCACAACGTGACCAATAATGGCTCACATTGTGACACCCAAAGAAATGCACATCTACAAGTTAAATCTAACTCATGACGTGACGAGGCATAAATCATGTCATGACCCACTTCTAAATGTAAAATACTTGAAATTTAGTACCTCGAATATCCGAATGTTACAGTAACATCCGGATTCCTTGAGTTATTTCTATTTTATTTATGTAATTTTAAAAAGATTGAGTCTGATTGCCATAGTGTGGTGGAGGCACCTCTACGATGTGGCATATCTGGAATGTTCGCGGATTCTTAAGTTGGTCCCTACGATATGGCCGCATGCTGGCCACGGTATGGCGACCATTTGATAGGAAAACCCTAATTTTTGGGTATTTAAAGGAAATTATAGGCTAGGATTTGTTTACCCTCAACCTCCATCACTCCTAAACCCTAGAACCCTAATCCTAATTCCTTTTGGTGATTCTTGAGCTCTTTTGGTGTTTTAGTGCATTTTGAAGAAAGTAGAGGAAGGCTTGGAGTAAGAAGCAAGCTAGGAACACTCCCTAATCTCTGGAAGCACCTTGCTGGACCATTTGTAAGGATTCTTGATCTAACCTTTTTGTTTCTTCTTAGTGGATCTAAGGTTATCTTTCATGTTAGCACCCTTTGGTGGATTTTGAGTGAAGCTAAGAGATAAAGTTTGCAACTTTATGATTTCTTTGAATCCCAAAATCATTATATCTCATAGATCTAGAAGTTTGTTGTGGTTTGGAAATCATGCATGAGTTTGATCCCTTTTCATCCACATTTTTAACCTAAAATAGAAGAGACATGCATTGGACATGCATGTCCACAAAGCTCTAATATTTATGATCCATTAGGCGAAGGAAAATCTTATGGAAAGTTTGAAGGAGTGTCTTTGGTGATTAAGGGCTTAATGGCTAGGTATTTGCTTCTTTAAGTCTTTAAGGATCTAGGTTTAGAGATCTTGTCTTAATGAGATGTCTTCATGGATAAAGTTGGAAACTTTGTCCATCAAGACCTTGGGAAGGAGCAAATTTGGGCTTTGGAGCTCTTGGAATTGGCAGGAAGCTGCTTAACCCGATTAAATTGTTTAGACCAGTTCCCACGGCGTAGCTTGGGTTGCCACGACATTGTGACTAGGGGTTAAATGATTGTTTTGTCGTTTTGTGCCTATGACGTGGCCAATGCAAGGCCACGACATGGAGGCTTGATGTTGGCAATTTTGACTTTGACTTTGGTCGTGGACTTTGAGGGTTGACCTTTGACTTAGTTGACTTTTGGTCAAATTGTTAGATTTGATGGATATAGTAAGGATTCATCTTGTGTGGTTATCTAGCTGACGTGTAGCAACTATTTCTTGATTGTCTGAGCCGTTGACTTTTGACTGCATTTGCGAGGTAAGTCTTCTCACTATATTGTGTAGGATGCTAGTTGTCTTTGTGATACTTGATGGAAGACCTCGGGGGTAGCCTGTGGTATTTGTATGAAAGACCATGGGGGTAGCCCATGACACTTGTGTATAAGACCTTGGGGTAGCCAAGGCACTACAAGGGAAGACCATGGGGGCAGTCTATGGGAATGGTATGAAAGACTATGGGGGTAGCCCATGACAATGTATGTATGATATGTAGTATTTTGTGGAACTCACTAAGCTTTGTGCTTACAATTTTGAGGTTTAAAGTATTTTCAGGTACTTCCAGTTCTAGAAGGAAGGACCCGATTTGACTGCACAATATCCCCTTATAATTTATGTATCAATGATAATTTACTCTGATGACATTGATACATTGCATTCTGATTGGTTTTCAAACACATGATGTATGGTTTTGATGTTATTAAAATAAAAATTTTATCAGTGTTTTTGGGATTTTACAACGAAAGCATGGGAACCCGAAGAAGTTATGGCATTGGCACAAATATGGATCGATATTTTTGATAATGTGAAGACAGGAAAAGACCAAAAACTTAACCACTTTTGGAGGCGAGTTATAAAAAGGTTCCATAAAGGATTGAACCTTCAAGAGTATCGTTCAAAAGACCAAGTGTATTCCAAATGGAGGAAGGCAAACAAGGAGGTCATGTTGTTTAATGATTTGTATAACAACATGCAAAGTCAATGGAAAGTGGAGAAAGTGATGATGAAGAAAGCTATAAAAGTGTACCAAAAAGAAAACGAGAAGGCTTTCAAGTTTATTGACTTTAGGAATCTCGTGAAAGATAACGAAAAATGGAAAAAGAGCAAAACATCTAACGAGCATATCGATAGTGGCTCAAAGTGCTCAAGAACATAACTCGACCACAGTACATCAGATGCTCGTGTTGATTTCGACCTCAACAATGATGAACCCGTTTAAGTTATACCATCTTCCTGACCAATGGGAAGGGACAAAGCAAAATGCAAAGACAAAGGCAAAACGGTAGATTCAGATGACTTGAAAAAAATGGGAGATGACATGAAGGGTATAAAAGAAAGAATGGACAAGTTTTTGCAAATTTCTTCCGAAAGAAAGCGTAGGAAATAAAAAGACAGTGACATGAAAATACTAACGCTAGACACAACGAACATGACCGTAGAGGAGCTTGAAATTGCTTTAACAATAAAAGTCGAAGTCAAAAAATTAAAATTTCTAGCTATTTTTAGTCGTTTGTTGTCTTTTTTTTTTTATTATTATTTTTTATGTTCGTAGGTTTAAAATTCTAGTTTTTTTTTTTTTAGTTTTTTAGTTTTCTAAGTGTTTAGGACTTTTTTTTATTAGTTTTCTAAGTGTTTAGGACTTTTTTTTTAATGTCATGTTATGTTTTTTTTTTAAAAATAATGCCATGCAATGCTTTTATTTTTATTTTTTATTTTGAAATAATATTATGTTTTTTTATTAAAATTAAAATTTTTATTAAAATTAAATTGTTAAAAAAATGACACCACATTTTGACAAAGAAACCATGCGACAAAAAAACCCTACTATTTTTTTTGGTAAAAATAACATGACAGATCAAAAAAGTATAATTTATGATCTGTGTGGCACCACTGGAGTCTTATATAATCTTTAAACATAATGGATGGATAGTTCTTTTGGTGTGTAAACCATGACGCAACCAATGTAGGTAAACCGTAATCATATCGTGTCCTTTTAAGTTTGGCGTACCAAGGACACGTCTAAAATATAGATATTTACAGTAGTTTTAAATTATGGTTCTATATTTTGAAATCAGTAATAAATTAATAAACACATATAAAGCATTAAAACAGAAGGGATTCAAAAACCCTTCAAATTATTATTGATTTGAACCAACATATAATCATCACTTACATAATAAGGATTCAATAGTTCTTGGAATTCAGACTTAAACAAATTATTACAGTTTCTTATTTCTCTATCTTCTTCTCTGGTGCTCCCATCGATGTAAGTTGAATTAGAAATCGAGTTCATAAGAGTTGAGCTTGATGAAGCTGTTGAAGAATTCACGAAACTTGACGTGAGGCAGAATTTGTTGCTGACATTCGATTGAGGATTAATGTGATATCCATAGTTGTCATATAAGGTGACGAAGTTCTCAAGATTATTACAAGTTAAAATATCAATATATGGATAAGTTTGAGGTTTAAAATCAGAAATACTTGAAGGAAATTCGTTTACATTGGGTTGTATGAGCTTGGATGTTTCACATGAAGATGTAACAACACACGTAGGTGTACTCAATGAAGCACAAGTTGACATTTCTTGAATTAGGGTTTGATCTTGGACTAAATGATGGTTTTCTTGAAGTTGTAGGGTATTTTCAAGCTGGTCTTTTTGGTGAATGAAGTTAGGGTTTTGATTGCCGTGGGATGAGAGGTGTGAAGCCGCTAACCTCAACAATTCAGGGTTAACCATGGGTTGGATCCTCAACAAGTTCATTTGAGGCGAATTGTAAATAGACGAGTTCAAAATGGATGAAAGAGCAAGAATATCAAGTCGAGTTTTGTGAGTGATCGGATCAATTCCCATTCGAAGAAGCCTTTTCCTGATGTGGGTGTTCCAAAAGTTTTTTATTTCATTATCAGTTCTTCCAGGTAAACGAGCTGCAATTGTTGACCATCTGCAATAACAAAATATCAAATGATTAGACACCACACAACTATAAAGATTAAAATTTCAATAAATGCCAATGTTAGAAAATGACATTTTGAGAATACAACTGTTCCAAAAGTATTAAGAAGAATAACTAAAGAACAATGTTGAGAACTTTGACTTACTTGTTTCCCAATATACTATGAAGTTTAATGATTGTTTCTTCCTCTTCAGAAGAAAACTTGCCTCTTTTAATGTCAGGCTTAAGATAATTCGTCCATCTTAACCTACAGCTTTTTCCACATCTTTGCAAACCTATATATAATTAAAATAAAATTAGAAATCAACTAAAATTAAAAAAAAAAGTTATACAAAACATGTTATCCGTGAAGAAACATGGGTAAAGGCTATCTTCTTTGACTTTTAAACGTAACCATTTCAATCTCAAGATTGAAAATTATAACAAGAAAATAAAAAAACAGTAAATTAATAAAAGTAGTCAATGTTTATAAATGTAGCACATCTTTGCAAACCTATATAATATATATATATATATATATATATATATATATATAATTTAAAAACAAATTGAAATCAACTAAAACTAAAAAAAAAGTTTTACAAAACATGTTATCCGTGAGGAAACATGGGTAAAGGCTATCTTCTTTGACTTTTAAACGTAACCATTTCTATCTCAAGATCGAAAATTATAACAAGAAATAAAAAAACAGTAAATTAATACAATTAGTCAACGTTTATAAATTAATGTAGCACAAAATGTAATCGTAATAAAGCTTAGGACTTACTACTCAACTATATATGGTATTTGGTCTTTCTATTAAGAACAATTAATA